TTTCTGTACTAAAAAAAATAAAAAGTAGATTTGGATTATTTACAACTTTGAAATGTTTTTGCGGCTCAAATCATTTATAAATTATAAAATTACTCTTTCTGTCTTTATAAAAAAAAAGTTTTTTTAATTTACGTAATGTATCATGTTCCGCAGACGCTTCCCAATGAATTTTTTTGTTTTGTTTTGCTTTGTTACCCCAAGAAGACCTAAAGGTCTTGTCACAGAGCATCGCGGGAGTGCTTTAAACCAGGAAGCTCACGCTTCCTTCCTTACCGTGACGCGAAAATATGTCTAGAGCTCGTTTCGAACCTGGATCTCCTGCTTATTAAGCAAGCGCTCTGAAGCCCGTTCTCCATTCAGAAAATTTTGCGCTTTGGAGCGGTTCTTTGAGCATGGGCAAACAGTTTTTTTAAGCCCGTTCTCCAATCAGAACTTTTCCGCTCCTCCAAAGCGCAAAAAGTTCTGAATGGAGAACGGGCTTAACCACTGCACTGATAATGAATGCAAAACAAAATGTTTAAAATATTGCACGCATTATTATTAATACTTTTTAAATTTGTATATTAAAAAAGTTTTTATTTTTAATTATTAACTTTAAATATAAATTTAATTTTAAATTTTTACATTCTTTATAATTTTAAATTTTTGCTTAGTTACATGAAAATGTTAGTTACTTTAATATAAAATACTGAATCCTTTAAAAAGTGTTAAGTACTTTAATATAAGCATTCTAATTTAAACCACTTTAGGTGAAAAAGAGGCTCGTGAACCAGAAGTTTAATTTGAGGTTCGGAACAGCGGTTAGGAGATGTTCTGAAACCTCATGGAGTTCCGAACCCTTTGTACACAAAGATTTTCATAACTTTTTTTTTCCGATTCAAGGGTTACTAGAACCCATTAATTCTCAAAAACTCTAGTTCTAGAAATCGGGATTCAAAAACCCGCGATGTTTAGAACCCCAAATTTAGATAAAGGTTTTAATCTCTGATCATTAATCGAATAAGGTCAAGGAAGTATAAATACCCTCATTATTAAGTATAATATATAAAAAACTGTATTTAATTTATACAAAAACGTTGAAACTATAACATTAACAAATCAATAGTTAGAAACAATAAAAACATTGGTTTCCAAAAGGTCATGGAGATAAATGAATGTACATTAAAAAAAAAAAAAGAAATAAAATATAGCAAAAACATTTGCTAAAAAGTATAATCTTTTTTGTACTAAAGAGTAGAAAATTAACTTTTTAATTTAAATTTAATAGTTCCGTAAACTAAAGATTGACAGGTATATTTCTAAATAAACATTGCGCAGACCTGTCAATCTTTAGTTTACAAAACTATTAAATTTAAATTAAAAAGTTTGTTTTCTACTTTTTAGTACAAAAAAGATTATACTTTTTAGCAAATGTTTTTGCTATATTTTATTTTCTACTTTTTAGTCTTAACAAAGAGTTAGGATATATCAGTATGAAACAAAATTTTTTTGTCAATAAAAGTATTTTTAAAAGATTTAAAAAAAAATTACAAACCCACAAGCAATTTTAGCAAATTTTAAAAATGAAAGGTATTTAACTTTACTTCCGCAGTAGACGGCGGCTGCCTCCCAATTAATTTTAGGCGGCAAAATTTATTAAGTTCCGCCTCTGATGGCAACCGCCTTTCTATTGACGGCCACAGTCAAATATTTCTTTGGAAGGCAAAATGTTTTTCAGGCCGACGCTAATAGAGTGGCGGAAGCCAATGGTGCCTGCCTCCAGTAGAAATTTTGGAGGCAAAACTATATGGAGGCCGCCTCCTATAGCTTTTACCTCCCAGCTGGCTGCGGCCGATAAATTGGTGGCGGAAATATTCGCCTCCCGGCGGTGGATGTAATGAAAATTTGCATTTGGGCCTTTAAGTTAACGAGCAATTAAATTATTAACAAATGAGAACAAATGTTAAATATTTGACATCAAAGTTTTGTTTTGTATGATTTATTGACTATTTAAAAAAAATTTAAATAGTCAATAATATTTACAATATATAAAGAGCGTTAACAAGTTACTATATATGAAGAGCCTTAACTTTTTTTTTTTTTTTTTTTTTTTTAACAACAAAAGTATCCGTATATATTTCAATAAAACAAAATAACATATTTTTACATATAACTACAAAACGTTCAATTAAATAATTTTTGTACCATTAAAATCTTTACAAGACAGAAAGAAATTCAAAATTCTGTTTAGCGCATGCGCGTTGTACAGTGTACAAAATAAGGTAACTATTCGTTATTTATAATATAAAGTGCTGGCTATTAACCCATGCATTTAAAAAATATATGCAAGTCCGTCGTAGCACAGGGCTACTAGGGACTTGCTTGTAGACGTTGTTGAATATATATATATATATATATATATATATATATAAAATTATTCTTAAAAAATATTTACTTTGTTGTAAGGAAACTCGCAGAAGACTAAAATAGTCTTTTCATCGAGAACCTTTAAAACATAAAATAAACTTTAATGAACTAGTTCAACAAATACACATAAGTATTTTGGTATCTACTATAGAGTAGAAGTAGTAGGGCTTTTTATTATTACTATTTTTCACAAAATGTTTAATACATTTCGATTAAGTTGGTTAAGTTAATTATGATATGTTTTAGTTTTTTTTTCAGAGCAATAAGGTTATCCATTTTATTAAGTTATTTTATAACTTAATAAAATGGATAACCTTATTGCTCTCCATATTTTGAAATATTATTTTGTTATGTAAAAATGGGCCACGGTATATTAAAGAAAATCGCGAGAATTTTATTTTTTTTAAAGACAAGGTGAAGTTGCCTGTTCCTCGTGTGATGTATTTGTTTGCGTTGATATGAAAAAAGCTATCAGTAAAGTATTTCGGAACAAGTCCGAGTTTGTATTTTAGCATGAATAAGATATTTTGGTAAATATTTATTTGATAGATATTTAATGCATTCAAATTTTTAAGTAAAGGGTCGGCATGAGTGAATTTATCTTTATTATAAATTAATCTCGATGCATGTTTCTGATGTATGTAGAGTGAATTTAATTTAGTTTTATGGGTACCTCCTCATGCAATATTAGCGTATATTAGGTAACTTTGAATATAAGAAAAGAAGAAAATTTTTAAGTTGTCTTGGGAAAGCATAGGTTTGGCTTTATAGAGTACGCCGATACTTTTTGATATTTTTGTGTTTTTTATATTAATATGGGCTTTCCAATTAATATTCTGGTCAATAATTATTGCAAGAAACTTAGTTATTTCAGTTCTTTTGATGTTTATGTTATCAATTTTTAGTGAAGGTAGAGTGTCTGGTATAAAGTTTTGAACACGGTTGGAGTGAAACAAGATATATTTTGTTT